CCTGGTTTAATGATATCTGCAAGTCTAAATATCAAAATTACAAAGAAAGTCTACACAAATTTAATACAAATAAATCTACTGTTAATAGAAACGCACTTTGTGACAAGAAATGTGATAATAAAAAACCATAAAGAAATTTAAGCACATTTATGAACGATACCAATGAAATAACATGGAATATTTAAGAAAGTATAATCCAAGACAATTTTTCATGTTATTTCAGAGTAAGAAAAAAATAGGTAATGATATAACAGCAGATCAATTTTTTGAACATTTTTAGAGTGTCTTTGAGAACAAGAACGAATCCAACAATATTGATGACAGTGTTGAACAGCACTCAGCATCTTGCTATGAGGAATTAGATATACGTATATCTGAATTAGAAGCAGAGTAATGCAGATGATGGTGTAATTAATGAATTTCTTATTAAATGGAAAGAAATTATGATTCCTATTCTATGTAAACTATTTAACAATATTTTGATTCGGGTATGTATCCAGATAGTTGGTCAAAGGGGTGTACTGTACCAATTTTCAAAAAGGGCGAATTACATGACCCAAATAATTATAGAGGTATAACTTTGGTTAGTTGTTTAGCAAAACTGTTTACATGTGTTTTGAATAATAGATTGTTAGAATGGGACCAAAAATACAATATCATTACAGACGCTCAGTTTGGTTTTAAGCCCGGTGCAAGTACAATTGACGCTATACGTATTTATTCTACAAAGTTTAATTAGCAGGACATTGAGAAACAAAGAGATTATACTTTTGCTTTGTAGATTATTCAAAGGCTTTTGATTTAATTGACAGATCTAAGTTATGATTCAAGATACAAACAGAGGGTATACAAGGAAAAATGTTATGTATTATTAAGTCTCTATATAAGAATGTTAGAACCTGTATAAAACACCAAGGAATATTGACAGACATATTTTGTATTTTTGTCGGTGTTCTGCAAGGGGAAATATTATCGCCTGTATTATTTTCCACGTATCTGAATGATTTTGAACGACATTTTATTGAAAATAATTGTGCTTCAGTTGAACTTCAAATGATTAATTTGTTTCTGATTATGTACGCAGATGATACAGTCCTAATATCGGAATAAGTTGAAAGTTTACAAGAAATGTTAAACACTCTTTATAGCTATACAAAAGAATGGAATTTAACTGTAAATGTACAAAAAAAAACACAAAAATTGTAGTTTTTAGAAATGGAAAGTATGTAAAAGATGAAGAAAAATGGAAATATAATGGTAACAATGTGGAAGTTGTGAATCAGTTTAACTATTTAGGAATGTTATTTAACTATAATGGTAAATTCTTATCCACATAGAAACATTGTGCAACACAAGGTAACAAGGCAATGTTTATAATTTATAGTAAAATGAAAGATTTAAATTTCAATGTTGAGACTCAGATTAATGTGTTTGATACTTATGTTAAAAGTGTGTTATACTATGGAGCTGAAAAATGGGGGTTTCATAAAGGTCAAGATGTTGAAAGAGTGCATATTAATTTTTGTAAAAGAATACTTGGTGTAAGAAAAAATACTTGCAATAGTGCTGTTTATTATGAGTTAGGTAGAATACTACTAGATATATATAGAAAGCGCAGAATATTACAATATTGGTTAAAATTAAGAAAAAATAATAATTGTATATTGAGTGCATGTTATCAAGATATGATAGAAAATAAAGATCCCTGGATTATGAATATAAAATATGAAATGTACACTCTAGGTTTGGGTGACTTGTACCATAGTAATCGAAGGTAGTATTATATTACACATAACATACAAAAGAATGTGTGATGTTTTTAAACAAAAAGCTATATCTGATATATGTAGATCACCAAAATGCATGTTATATAAGCATTTAGTTGACTATTTTTGTTTGCAAGGTTATTTAAGAAAAATATTCATGTAAAATACAGAAAAGCAATTACATGTTTTAGACTTTCAGCACATAATTTAAAGGTAGAAACTGGAAGGTATGGCAACTTAATAAGGAGTAATAGGAAATGTGATTTATGTAATTTAAATGATATTGAAGATGAATTTCATTTTTTGTTCATTTGTCCAGTTTTTCATGATTTAAGAGACAAATTCATCAAACATTACTACTCCCGAAGACCAAGTGTCTTTAAACTAATACAACTATTTTGTAGTACAAATACCAAAGATGTAAATCAGTTAGGGAAATATATATATCATGCTAATAAATTACGATTAGGATGTTTAAAACAATTAGCTAAATAATAGAATGTATGTATCACAAGTTTGTAAGTGTATATCATGTCATTGTACTATGTATGTAATTGATAAATATATAATATTGTACTGTAATACTTATGGGATGTACGTCTCTTGGAATAAAGAACTGAAGAGGTTTACGCAAAATCTTTCATTGATTAAAGTTCGTGAACGATAGAAAAACTTCTGTTAACCAGTTTTATGTGTTTCTAACTTTCTAGTAATGCTGTTTACCAAGAAAAGTATGGAAAAAATATATAATTACTCTATTTACAAATCAGTTATCCGCAAGTGAGATACATGTAACTCAAAATATTTTTTACGGAACAATGTAGCAGAAGAAAAAAAAGAGAGAAAGATATAGTTTGAATATCAAGATTTCAAAATGCACAAAATTAATTTGTTATATACATGCATCCAAGTCCAGGAAATACACAGAAATACACAGAATGCCTCGGCGTTGCGTAATAATATATAGGATTGTATACCGTCCAACCTCTACCGTAGAATAGGTAATTAATTAAAAGGGTGCTGTCATCTTTCTTTCCTCGATTTCGTTGCTTAAGCCAATGCTTTTCTATTGTTGCATTTTATGTTTGATTTGTCGATGAATGTAGAATTTATTAGAAGTTAGTGGCTGAATAACTTAAATAGCATGGAAACTTCGGTAAAATACACTTGAACGGTCTTTTTGATACTCATTTTCCCAAAAGTTTCATGATAAATAAAGCTTCTATAAATCTTTTTTGGTCCCTAGTATTATTTAACTTTAAAAAAACCCCAAACATTTTAGTCAAAAAATTCTTTATTAGAAGTATTCAAAAAATAGAAAAACAATCAAGCAAATAAACAAGTGATACATGTATTCTTTATACAGTATTAATTCTGGGGTTTGGCAATGGATATAGCTGTGAATTTAAGCAAATGTTTTGCATACAACATTCATATTAATTAAGTGACAATATTATTTATATCAGATTTCAGATTTTTGATGGCAAACCTTCAAAAGATTACTTGATTATAAAGCTTACCATGGGACACCATATTAAAAAATAATGACCCAAAGATAGTTTTACAAATGATAAAATGGGTTTATAGAGTTGACCGAGATTAAAATATATAACTAACGAAGTTAATCTATATTTAACATCTTTTGAAATAACATTTGCAAATTTTTATAAACTACGTAATTGATAAGGTAAGTAAATTATTGTAAAGACAATTACAATGGAGATTTCTGAATTTGTCACTTTTCAATCATTCAATTATAATCTACAATAGATGTATATTATATACAGAAATAAGATGTATATTATGTTTGAATGGTTATATTTAACGAAATAAGGTCAGAAGAAGAATTATGTGCGTTACGCCCTTTTTTCTTTTTCAAAAAAATCTGTTGTTGCAAAAAGTGCATCATTATTGTAGCCATATTTGCTACCCGAATCTTAAAACTATTAAGACATAAAATGAACTTTTACATTATCAGAACCAAGTTGATCAAAGTAATCCTGGATTATTCTTGATCCCAAATTCTGAGATCATATGTTTTATGTAACCGAAAACGTAATTACAGTCACGAGAAAATTTGACGTAACTGCAGGTGGACAGATGCTCCGTTTTCATTGGTTCATTTCCTGGTCATTTTACTTGATCAGAAGGACATTACGTGACCTACCCCGAGGGTGACTGATGGATATATTTTGGGTTCCACAAATGAGTTCATTTAGTTTAGGTTGCCCACACGTACATGATCACAGTGAAGTGTTCTACATTAAACAACTCTTATGTCTTTGTAGCCAAGATTTTTGGGTATATGCAAATATACCCAAATATATACTGACCTAGGTTAAGTACATGGTAATATTTGTGGTTTCTGATGTAAAAACGGACGCATCCATTCGTATCTAAAAAGCATATGTGACGCTTTTTATAATGAAATGCTCAGATATGTAACAGTTATTATTATTATTTTTTTTAAAATCACTTGCTTTTTTACCTATTTCAAAGATATTTTAATAATTTATTTTGAAGATATTTTTAAGAGGAATTACTTCAAATACGTCTCTGAGTATTAAAATTTGAATGATGATTAAGTGTAACAAGCTCTAAGCATATCATAAGACAGTTGTTTCATCTATCACGCTGAGCATTTCAGTCTCGAAATTATTTGATTTTACATTGTGGGTGCACTATTATCTCTATAACTTCCTCATGCATGCAGAAAAGGAATAAGCCTCCTTCCAAACCGCGGAGAGAAAGGTCAAACGCAATTCATATAAAGCCATTCTACAACAGTTTATCACTGTCGCACTTGGATTTAATAACAGTCTTAAAATGTTTCTGTTTATGTCATGAGTTTGTGAAACGTGTCATACAAATTTTTAACAACAGTTTAACTGTAGATAGCATCATTTTAAAAAGTTGTACAGGAATGGTAAAAATCCTTCTGTCATCCAAACGTGTAATATATCTGCTTGTTTATTATAGCGATACATGGTAAATAGTTAAATAATTAATCTTCTTACAATATTTCACCGTTTGAATATTGCTGTCTTGTGAATTCATCACTCTGCATTTAAAATTAAAAAGATAATCGGGTAGAGTATTGAAAAATTCAATTGTAAAAACAGATCGCATTTTTTATTGGACACAAATTACAATAAAATATTTCATTAATATAAACAAGAAAATAAGAAATAAATGAAAGTGACCTTCACTTTATTGGAAGAAACATATTGTTAACATCACGCAGTTACTTTGGTCGCCCATCCCTGAAATCAAAAAGAACGATTTAGTATGCTATATTGCTATAATAAACTTAACATTCCATAAAAATTGCATCTGGAGACAACAACATGTTGACATCGATGAAGAAAGAAATGCATTTTTAAATAACTTACCTTATAATAAAATTAGATTCGACAAATCAAATAAATGTCTTAACCAGCAACAGCTCCAGTGGAGTTAGTAGCCAGCAAACTCAACGCCACGGTGAAGGCTTAAAGAAGATTGGAAAGAACATGATTTTGTTTTTCCGATTAAGAATTAACCTTAATTACTTTATTTTACATTTAATTTGTATTCTAAACAAAACAAGATGGGAAGTCAAATATTTAAGGGTAGGAAAGGAATGAAAATAAATCCGAAAACAAGCAAATTTGGGTACAGACATGTATTTTATTTATGCACAGATCAATCGTGTATCTTAAGATTTTTCCACTGGTTTAACATTATATTAAAATCTAAGACTTACCAAGGTTTAGCAAGCCTCCTAATCTAGTGTCGTAAGTTGCTTGTCTGATGGCCTGAACAGTCCTCAAAAGATTCTGTGCTTCATTGGCTTGTGTATACTGTTGATTAATGGCGAGGGCATACAGATATCCGTCTTGCTGAGAGAAGGATGAGGACTGAGCGGCATTGGCTATTGGCCTGTACATATTGTACATTGGGCGAGCCTGAGGTCTAATCACCATAACTCTTGACCCCTTATGCTGGCACTAGAATTTGAAAAAAAAAATCAATTGTCGCAAACAATTTTGGCTTTTCCTTTTATTGTGTGAACCATTTTCATCTCAAACAAACGCGTTTTAGAGAAATAATGATTAAAAATGTAACATTTATCAACTTGTTTTCATGTGGCGTAGTTTAAACTTTGCAAATCAAAAATTCTGTACACAAGAAAATTTCCCGATATCATGAAAAAATTATTAAAATTGAAATGATTTGAATTAATTATCACAGAAAATAATGAAAGAAAAGAAAAAAATGACCCAGAATTAAAAGATGCCTTACATGGACAACGACAAAGACCGCCAACAGGGTCCCAACGATGAATAAAATTGGTTTATTCATTGTGCTGGCGAATCCCCCCTTCGGTTGGTGCTAACAAATTGGAGATTGATGAACTATTGCTATGGTAGTTTAAATACCGCCAAAAATCACGTGATTTCCGTTTTCGTTGGCTTACGAACGTTTCAGGAGAGTGGCTTTGTAACTACGGGATAACAGGGACACGAAAGATAGATGAGATCTATGAATATTCTGCGATATTATTAAATAACGAGCGGTAAATGCGTAGGGTCTCTCTCGCTATTTTGTACTAGCTTGTCTCTGTTGTACGAGAAGCAAAATATCCCGTGTGAAAATTACGTAGTACATTTCTGTCCGACGACTTTGGACTAGGAAACGTTGTCTCTAGAGCAAAACATTTGCAAGTAATTATTGCACTAGTTAAAAAAAAGAAAAAAGAAAAGTTATGGAACAGGGTACTTTTATGATAATATCCCCTCACTTTTCATTTTGAAAATTCTTTCACTATTAATTTGGTTTGGAAAGCCTCCATCTTTTTGTCGAAAAGGGAGAGGAAGCCCCGCCCACGAAATAGGATGTTCTTTTTTATTTTGCTTGTTGCTTCCATTCTCTGATCGCATAATAGGAGATATATCGATATTTCATTACAAATAATGACATACACGCATCTAGAGTGGGAACAGGGTTTAGATCTTAAACGCTTCTCTTTTCACCCCAATTTCATAATACAAAAGCCTGTCCTCATTAATATCCAGTTTCTTTTTTTCAACTCACAAATATCTTATCATCTTTTCGTGTTATGTTTTTTGGTTTTAATTTGTGAATTGATTTCATCAAAGAAATTATGATATTTATTGAAATGACAAGCAGTAGGGTGGTTTTTTCTTCTTGTTCTTCGTCAAATGGCACCTATACATCGAAGTAAAAAGTTATTCTTATGAGACTATTGTGCAAACTGACAGAGTTAGATTGATGCTAGGAGAAATTATTACCACAGCGATGTATCTGTCCCAACGTTCATCAGAAGCGGTTACAAAACCGATCACGATACGCTGCGGGGTCGTGCTTTCCAGCTACGCAACAACCCCGCTCATATATAAACCAATGGTATCCATGTTCTGAGATCTCCATCAAAACGGGAAAGCAGGAGATTCGTTCGATCATTAAGCTTTGAAGATGAATAAACAATTTTTCTTCTTAGCCGGAGTCTGCCTGTTGGCTTATGTGGCAGTGGAAGTGAGTGCCCAGTATGGAATGGGCTATGGATATGGGGGATACCCCTCCATGTATCCAGGCATGGGGGGAATAGGAGGTGTTTACGGGGGAAACGCTCAGGAGAGAGCTAAATATCGAAGGAATCTGATAGCTTATAGACTGGCACTGAGAGATTGGCAAAGAAAAGCCTCAAGGACAATTGTCGTACGAAATGCTCTCAATGATCTAGCAAGGGCTTCTACTTTCAACAAATGGACTGCTTTGGGTATGGCGTTGTATTTTCCTTTTTTCTGTCCCTTTTCTCTATTATTATTGGTATTTTGTATTGTTCTTAAGCTGACATAAAATAAGAAACGAAATTAATTTTCAGAGACAGGGTTTTTAAATTATATGACTTTCCCCTTGTTTTTTAGTGCCTGGTATTCTGACGTTATTGGCCTTCTCCAACTCCACATCCATTCCCCTCACTGGATAAATTATTCACCAATACAGCGATTCTATTAACACTTGGTAAATAATTTATTTCAATTACATTCAAGCAACAAGTATCAGAATGATACTTGTTGAACTCAAACTTTTTTGTAAATGGGATACTCATACATTGCAATTATGTTAAGACTTCGTAACATAATTATGACAAAGACAACGAAACAATGTCTTCAATATTTATTACGCTAAACAGATAATTGATAAAATGCACTCAGTTTCTTATACATGTATTTTAAACGTTTATAAACAAATATGAATAATTTATTTGCTATATTTAGATTGGGTTTCTTTTCAGGGGCGGTGACGTTGCGATGCGCGATATGCAGAAATATTACTTTTGTGTCATTTTATTTGAATAAACACCCTTCTTATGTTGTACTCATTGTGACGTTATTTTATTCATTTTACTACAATATCTTTCCTCTACCTTAGGTAATCTAGGTAATTATTAATCTCAAACACAGGTGTATTTTAGCGGAATGATGCTAGAAATGAACACTCATTAAACCTTCAGTATCATAACTTGATATAATGTATGTACATAGTCTTCGAAATAATGACATAACTTGTTTACTTATTTGCACATTTTTATTCTCAAGTTCAACTCTTACATGCACTCTTACATGCACAATAGTTTGTTGCATTAATCTCTACTGCAGAGGAAATAAAGAATGTCTGTCTGTCTGTCCTAGCTACCGAAGACCCACTCATATCGAAAAATTGAGGAACACTTGACCAGGGGTATCACCCCCCAATTTAAGCTCACTGAGAGTCTTAGATTTTGTAATGTATGTTATGTTATTTTTGTAAACTGGTGGGCTGTATTGCCCAAAGTTATATCCTGAATAAATTTATATATCCGGATAAAAAAGGCAATTGTAAGGACATGGAACGCATAGCATTTTGTCGAAAATAGACTTTAGTCCAACGTGTCGGAAAGATAGAGAAAACAGGGTTAGGGCAATGCAAAAAAGATCTTTAATACACATGCCATATATACCAATTAAAAAAACAAAAACAAAATAACAAAACAAACAAACGGACAAACACAACAAAACAAAAAATCACCCCCCCCAAAAAAAAAAATAAACAACAATAAACAAACAAACAAATTAAAAAAAAAAAAAAAAAGAAGGAAAAGAAAATTCGTTTTTTAATGCTAGGAGACCAATAACTATTTGAACAACAAAGCATGTACACTTTTCAATGAATACATAATAATCATAGTATTAAAGCCCGAAATTTAATTTCTACTTTGAAACTTTATCATACACGTTCCTATATCTAATTTCGTCAGCCATGGGGATGGGGGTCGCCGCCTGCTCCCTTCTAGAAAGAGTCTAGAAGAAAAGGCGTCTATGTGTAGTTTACGTAATTTCTATCCGTTACAGTCAAAACCACAGGCATTTGACGTTTTAAATCTTTCTCTTTATTGATAAAAATATCCCTATACTAGTATGAGGATATTTTTATCAATAAAGAGAAAGATTTGACGTTTAAATCTTTTTCTTTATTGATAAAAATATCCCCATACTAGTATGGGGATATTTGTATCAATAAAGAGAAAGATTTAAAACGTCAAGTGCCTGTGGTCAAAACATTTGAATGTCAGAAAATAAAGTTTGCGGAACATACATCGCGGCGGTCTATGTAAAAATGGGGTTGAATTATAATTTCAATTGCTCGGTGCATGCCTTCAGATCGCTTTAAGGACATGTAATATTAAAAAAAATACGATATAGAATTTTGTAAAACAATTTGTGCAGACTTTATTATTGCTGAAAAACATATATTCACAACTTTTTCATTAAACAAATTACACACTTTAGTAAAGTTCAATGCCTTTTCTGAAGCTTGTTCTTGTTGCTTAAACCACTTAAGGAAAACAGAAAAACTTAAGCTGAGTGAATATGTCATTTATTGCCAAGATAAATGACGAGAAGTGAAACAAAAGCATGTATAATATACAATTACAATAATGTACATTAAAAGCTGGGATAAGGTCAAATGATGAATAATTTCAATTTAGATATGTTACATTGCAACTTAGTGCTTATCCCAGCTATTGTTATATATGTATAATGATTACAAAGTTTGTGCAACAAGAAGGTGGCGTACAAAAAGAGGCGCCACGTGTATGTTACTAACAGGAATAATTTAAAAACAAGTTCAAATATATTGTAAATCGCAGAGAGAAAACACAGTTTACATGAAGAATAAGTGCATTAAACCTATATAATAAGGATACTTAAAACATAAGTTTCTCAATTACAAACATTTCCCACTAACATAATTATACATGGGAGGAGGAAGGGAGGTGGTGGTTAAAATTACCATAACCTCGTGTTTCCACCGGATTTAAATATTGGGAACTCGATCCCGATTTAAGTTGAACCCGACCTTAATACAACATACTAATAATAACTACAAAATTTAATTGACTTGACATTAACAATGTAAAAAGCTTGCATATAAAACATTTTATGAAACATAAAATTTTATTTATATTCACAACTTTTTCATTAAACAAATTACACACTTTAGTAAAGTTCAATGCCTTTTCTGAAGCTTGTTCTTGTTGCTTAAACCACTTAAGGAAAACAGAAAAACTTAAGCTGAGTGAATATGTCATTTATTGCCAAGATAAATGACGAGAAGTGAAACAAAAGCATGTATAATATACAATTACAATAATGTACATTAAAAGCTGGGATAAGGTCAAATGATGAATAATTTCAATTTAGATATGTTACATTGCAACTTAGTGCTTATCCCAGCTATTGTTATATATGTATAATGATTACAAAGTTTGTGCAACAAGAAGGTGGCGTACAAAAAGAGGCCACAAAGCATGCTAAATGCTTGCATGACGCATGCAGCGCCACCCAAGGAAAAGGCATTTTCATTTGAATTACATTGAACTGAAAGTTGCCAAAAAGGAGTTTTTGTGAAAAGTATTTAATTGACTATGGTAACACTAAAATAATCAATTTTACAATTAACTGTATAAAATTTTAGAATGTATAAAAACAATGTTTATTAATATAATGTATACAAAATGGTGCATAAACCTGAACCAAACATGTATACCTCAATGACTAAAAATATACATGCATGGACTAAATACAGTTTATATGAGCAGTTATATGCTGACCTCATGCACATTATTTATAAACAAATTTATGTTGAGCTCATGACTAGAATACAGATTATATGAGCAGCCATATGCTGACCTCGAGTACCATGCAGGCAGATTTTATAATACAATTTACATGAGCAGCCATATGCTGACCTTATGTATCTTAACTCAAGTCAATGCAGGCAGATTTTAACAAACATTTTACATGAGCAGCCATATGCTGACCTCGTGTAGCTTAACTCACTGTCTATGCAGGAAGATTTTAACATACAGTTTACATGAACAGCCATATGCTGACCTCATGTATTATAGATCACAGTCAATGCAGGCACATTTTTAAATACAATTTACATGAGCAGCCATATGCTGACCTCATGTATCTTAGGTCAAGTCAATGCAGGCAGATTTTAACAAACAATTTACATGAGCAGCCATATGCTGACCTCATGTATCCTAGCTCACAGTCTATGCAGACAATTTTAATGTACAGTTTACATGAGCAACCATATGCTGACCTCATGAACATTGGTACATAGTTAAACACATTTAGAAGCAAAACTATGCAGACCTAACTGACAAAATACAGATTATATGGGCAGCCATATGCTAAACTCTTGTGCCTTAGCTCACAGTCTTTGCAGATAAAATTTAAGATCACAATATGTGGAGCTCATGATTAACATACAATTTACATGAGCAGCTACATGCTGACCTCACGAACATGGTACATACTTTAAGTAACACATTTTGAGCAAAGCTATGCTGACCTCACAGACTAGATTACAGTTTATATGAGCCGCCATATGCTGGACTCATTGACATTAATAAGCAGTCTATGTAAAACATTGTAAGTACATCAATGCTGAGCTCACTTTCTAAAATACAGATTATATAAGCAGCCATGTGCTGACCTCCTATCAATTTAAACTGAATTATACAGAGTTGATGACTATAGAGGATGTACAACTATTTGAGCAGCCATATGCTGGTCTCATGATCAAATTTATGCTGGTCTCATGATCAAATTTACAAAATTAATGATAGAGCAATGAATAATGTTACATCAGAAGCTAATACATTGCCTAATCTTACTTACCAACATAGAGAACTGCCAGATGCTGACTTCTCTATTTATGATGTTCGGTGGCAGTACATGTTTAACTTTGCAATCCTTAAGACCAAGTTTGGCAAATTTGAATTTGAAAGTATTTATCCTAATGTAATGCCTACTTGCATTATAGTGCCAACAATCAAGTTGGTGAATGACATTTTCAGACAATTCGTTCTGTGCCACCTCTGTGGCAGCACAAATGCAAAACAATATCTGAATTAAAGGAGGAATCAAAGCCTTTAAAATTTATAACATGTTACAAGGGATATGCCATAAAAGTGTGAGGAACTGGTTCACCAGATTTGAAGGTGAATAAAGGGCCAGATGTGTGTTGATATTGAGCAATATACAGTTTCGAAACTTGAATGGACAAACTGACAATTCAGGTTATTGTCTGTCAAGGTAATTGTTATCGAGTGCCTATCATTTGATTTTGGATTACCTGAGTGCGATCTGTGCTCAATTTGCATTGTTCACCTAAGTGCATGAAAGCATGAAAGGCAAGGAGGTAGAGTGCCAACAAAAAGATTCCTATCTGCTTTTTGATATAAAGCAGATAAAAATATGATAAGAATAATGTTGTGATTGAAAATTTAGTGTCAGCAGTTGTCTCTAACTGTTTGGGGACCTTTGATAACTTTCCTTTAGATATGATTGAAATCAAATGCAGCAACAACTAATTCATGTTTTGTCCCTGCTTGACAATTTTTTATTGACAACTCCAACAACAGCTATAATATCAGCCAAAATTTTTGATTACTCAAATAAGGAAGCTAAATTTCCATCCAGAAGACAATATGGAAAAGCTCTTTATAAAAATGTGATTAACTGTTTGAATGCCTAGCCAAGATTGCACAGACCATAATGACCCATATACAGATGCAAAGCCCAACTACCAGATGCATAGGTATACATACAAAATTTCTGTGAAGAAATCCATTCATCCCAATAAAAAAATAGATTTGCCATCAAAATGATCAATAAGGAGATGCCATGTTTAAATGTCAGCACACTAATTTTAAGTACTGAGTTTATTTAGGAACATGACAATTTTAATCTATTAAGAGTATCAAAATTCATGAGTGCTACCACTTTACAAGCAAAATTAAACAAACCTAACAAAGACTGCAGTTCATTTAACTGTCTTTCTTTCTATGTGCTGTCTTTGCCAGCAATTGTATCATATTGAGAAGTTTGTCCACAGGTACTGACATCCCAAAAACTCCATATTCAAACAAGTTGTTGGCAAGACAGTTTGACATTTTAATCTCTGACACAGGTTTTCCAAATTCTGAACATCAGAGAGTCATTTTTGTGGTAATTCTGGTCCTAAGTAGAAAAAAATCATCAATGAGATGAGAGAAACCAGAGGCCCAATATTTATTTAACATAATCCACTGTAAGACTGTGCTTAACCTCTCAAACAACTGACCTGATGACCTGGCCCCAAATGTAAACATTTATCGCAATAATTTTGATCATCCTACATAAAGCCTTAAAAATGACAGTCTGAAGGGTGGAATGGGATATTTTGAAACCTGTCCATTATGTCTAACTTGACTAAATGTGTCCCGTCCCAAACGTCTTGATTAGCTGTATTACACATGTTACATTTCTATAAAATGATGATGCACAGCAGTATTTATCACGAAATGTGTTTAATTACTGAATTACCCTCTGGAAAGAATAGGTAATGAATAATTCTGAATTCTACAAGTAGCTTCTTAGGCACAAGCCCTGATGGTGAACAAATAAGATTATCAAAAGGTTTGAATGTATGTAGACCTGAAATATGATTGAGCCCAAGTTCCTTACTATCCAACATTTTGTCGGCTATCATCAGACTCTCTTTTTTTAACAGACGGATGATTGTTCCTGACAGAGGTGCAAAAAAACTCAATGTAACCAAGTTTAAAATCATATTTAAAACTGTAAACTTGAAAGTCAAGTAAAACCTTGTCATAACCCTGTAACTTTTGAAGTAGCACTTCATGTTCTATTGTTGTTGAAAGTGTTTAATTTGCTGTTAGATTTGCTTCAGTCGATTTGCTCCATTTTTTATTTTGGGTTGTTGTTTACTGTATATACTTGATATATTTGGCAGTTGTATTTGAGCAGTTTGCGGTGTATTGTAAGAAGCTAAAAGAACGAGTGAGGATGCAAGTTTTGACCATGTATTTGGTAATAGGAAGGTGCCAAGGGACCTCAATTAACTGACGAGCTAATAGCATTCTCTTCATAATATCTCTATGGGCCATCCCATTGGAACTCCCAATTTTCCTAACAGTACAGCAATTTTTAAGAAGAATGGCATACTCTTGGGGATAATTTTCTGTGTATATGGACACAAATATCAGAGAGGCTGATGTCCATTGGTACCATGATATGATTGTTTTGATGACTGTGAGTTTAACTAGATGGCTTTTTTGTTTTTTTTTTATTTGAGTTGAAATATTTTATTTGGAATTGGGTTATAAGCATTTAAGGTCAATAAATTGACTGTATCTGCCACCGACTCACCATAAAACAAATGTTGAAGTGTGTTGACAAAATTAGTTATCTAAGTCACCACTGGTGTCAGAGCAGCTTACTGGAGACAATGATAATTTGTCATCCAACACAGATATGTGCAGTAAAATCCACAGGAGGAGCTTGAGCATTTTGAGTGTGTAACTTGTCCTTCCTGGTGGTTGTGGATCTGCAACAGGTTTCCTTTCCTTAATCTTTGGTGGTATCTTATTCTACAATGAGTCCAAGCATGTTGTAATTTTCACACATGAGAATGTAATATGATACTAGTTGTACCCCACCCATTTATATGCACAGAATAATGAGACAACATGCTTACATCTTCATCATGTGAAAGGTGGGGTTAACTCTTGGTACAATGAAAGTTGTTTAGATATCAGTATCATTTTAAGAATTAGCATGAACAGGTCAGGTATAATTAATATTAGCTGCAGCTCGTAATAAATAAAAGTTGAAAAAGTATATTCTCATTTCAGTTTAACTTAGAAATGAGCTAAAATAAACAAAATTAGCTGCAACTATGTCATGACAATTATGGGCAACCAATTTTATAAATAAATGAAAAGATCCTCCCAACTTCTGCAGTTGTTAGTAAGAGTAAAAAATAACATACTTGTTGCCTTTACATAAATCATACGGATCCATAGGTGATCCCCCACAAATTGACCAAAACTGACACTGACATGCCAGTCATCATGGCCCACATTCATATTAGTTGCAGCTCATAATAAATAAAAGTTGAAAAAATTCTCATTTCTGTTTAACTTAGAAATGAACTTAAAAAAAACAAACTTAGCTGCAACTATTGCTCATCATTATAGGCAACCCCATATTTTAAATAAATAAACAAATCTTTCCAACTCCTGCAGTTGTCAGGAAGAATAAAAAAAAAAAAAAAAAAAAAAAAAAAAAAAAAAAAAAAAAAAAAAACTTGTTGCCTTTGCATACATCTATAGAAATCAATACAAACTGACCCGACAGCTTACTATGAAGACAGCTGGCATAATGTGCAGAGCACCTAGTAATAAATATGATTAAATATAATCACCAGCACTGTCTTACATGAATTAATATCAGCACAAAGCCAGCATTACCACTAACATAACAATCCAGTAAACATGGGTAAAAATCTCCATATTGAGATTTACTAAACACTGTGTGTAATGCACTAGTATTGATACTTATCTAGTCCCGATTCTTTGCCTGTCCTGTCAAATTGAGAGGCATGGACATGTTTGTAGACATTTGCCCAAGAACCGGTGGTCATGCATATGGTAACTGTCTTTTAAGCAAACTCCATCACAGACCAAATACTTCCTATCTGAGCCACAGAATTCCCGGTGGTGACACTGAAGCAGTTTATTGGTATCAATCACTTTGGTATTCTCGGAGGGATGTCTCCGTAACAAATGTTCAATTATTACATTAGAAAGGTTATAAGTTAAAATTATAAACCGTGTCAGTCCCATGATTCGTCGCTTCGTGTTGCCTGTGAGTCTGATAAATCATTACAAGCAGAAGGCAGAAGCCACCCTCAGTGTGGATATCACGAAACTGGAGTTTGCCAGATCGCGGGTCCTAGGGTCACTTCTCAAGCCGACTCACAATCAAAGTGTCTAAATTTTGTTTACGCAGTTAAATGGTATCACTGAAATGTCAATACAACCAATTCTTTGATAATTATATGAATCAATTCCTCATATTGTAGCTCAGATTAAAATTACCATAACCTCGTGTTTCCACCGGATTTAAATATTGGGAACTCGATCCCGATTTAAGTTGAACCCGACCTTAATACAACATACTAATAATAACTACAAAATTTAATTGACTTGACATTAACAATGTAAAAAGCTTGCATATAAAACATTTTATGAAACATAAAATTTTATTTATCATAAACTTTTCCTATCAAACAGCCTTAACCCCCCCCCCCCCCCCACACACACACACACACAAATCCATGTCTTCATATCGATGTCAAAATTCAATGCAAAGTCATGAAAAAATTAATCCCCCCAATAATAATAAATTTGCTAGTATTTTACCATGTATCAAATAAATAATTTAACCTAAAAACAATGAAATACAAGAAGATTAGATAAAAACCGATTTCCTCCTTAATCAGACTTACGTAATGGGGATATAAAAAAATACCCACCCACCCCTTTTCAGTCGGATTATTTAAAGCAATCTGAAAACCTGTGTGGAGAGTCAATAACAAATATGTTTGGAAGAACTTAGGACCTTTGATCTCCGCTATAAGATCAAAGAAGATGGGCGAACAAGACGAGCGAAGTGCCTACAGTGCGACAAACATGAAGGTGAAAAATTAATCTCAATAATAACAAAATTTTCTTTGATATTTCATCTAACATTAAAGATACTTCATGTAAAATTTCCACAATTTGCAAAAATCGAACAAAGATTGAAATTATTTGCCTATGAAAAAGCATACACACACTAAACAGGGAAAAAAGGATCATTTTCTCATTTTAACACAATTTTTCGATATGAGTGGGTCTTCGATCGCTCCATTTTTGGGAAAATATCCTCAAAGTTTGCATAAAAATATACATTTCTTGGTTAACAAAAACACAGAGCAAAGACCCACTATACCTACAAAATACACTTTTATATCTTCCGAGAAATACTTGAAGTCCATTTAGTCAAGGGTCATATCACAAACATCGCCACTAATCATCAGGAGCTGTGTAGCGTAGTGTTTAGCGCGTTAGTCTCAAAGGAAAAAGATACTTAGGCATTTTAATGCTAGGGTACAAATACCACATTGATTTAAAAAAAAAAGAATAATTTTTGCCCAGAAATTTTTCCGCAGAAATGTTTTGTGGATAATAATTTTGTAAATCTCAATAACGAGAACTTTACTCTAATACTTAATTCATAAACTGAATATGACTTACATATCTGAAGCTAAAGGCATTCTGCGCGCCTTGTTCACCCATCTCCTTTATACAAAATAATGGTAAAATCTTGTCATTATTACTTTTTTGAAAAAGTATTTGTGAAGTTCTTATAGGGAATTTTAGGTAAATCCAAATGTACTGGTTTCAAGAAACCTTCTATTAACCATGTAATTCCTTAGCACAGAAAAATAAGGCTCTGTCGATGTCTTATTCTACTGTATTTTACATCTAAAACAAATTGCTGAATAAAACTGCATAAAACAACGATTTTTAAAGTTATAATTTTTTTTAAACAGACAGGCAGATACCAAACAAAATGTAATCAGAAAAACTTTTGGCGAAGGTGAGCTGAAAATGGTCGACACATGGAGCAGCCGATTAAGAACCACAACCTTTACAATGTATACCACTCTAACACAGGGAAAATTATACAAGAAAATTTAAAAATATTTTTTTTTTCAAAAAGAGCGGCCAATTATTACACCCAACATAACACTAATAACATTTGTCTCGTAAATAATACAAAAAAAAAAAAAAAAAATAAAAAAAAATAATAATAAAAAAAAAAAAATAAATAAAAAAAAAATCTTTATAGTGACTGAAAACTAAAACCAATTGAATTCAATTTCTTTTCAAAATCCAAAAAATTGAACATTAATAGGTTTTGTTTCCATGATAGCACCAAACTACGGAAGCCGGTATGTGCCAGGTAGAAACATATTTTATATGGCGGCCGCCAAATAATTTTCTGGCGGCACAATAGTCTTAAAGATTGAACGTATTCAACACATTTAGAAAAACGGATGAAATACGTCAGTACAATATCCAACAACTACACTGAAAACACCTTACTGCCTCCGTTTTCAACTGTTGAATACTTGTACAGATTCCTGAAAATATGAGAAAAATTGCAAAAATTATTAAGTATTTAAGGCTTTTATTAAAAACAAAGTGTGAAACATGTTAAAGGATTTTTATCACGTCTCAAAGTTTTTTGATATGACAAAATACCAAATAAAGTGAACTTTTATTGATTAGTTTTACATATTATGTCCTTTTCTATCTTTAAAACAAATAGCATTATTTTAAAAGTCATTTAGGTGCGTGAATGGGAAGTTCATCCAATCATTTTAGTGTAATGACCTGATATTTAGTGTAATGTCCTGATGAACAAATATTTTGTTTTATTCAATATATATCCCCCTTTTATTTTAAATCTTAAATGCCAGTTTCTTTTTTTATAATGTTTTTATACAAACATAAAAAAATTGCATGCACTTTGTTTTTACAAACTTTTATATACACTTACAATTTTGCTATGGTGTAATGACATGATATGGAACACCTGATGAGAAGTTTTATATTTAGTATAACACAGTTTTATATATATTTATATATATATATATATATATATATATATATATATATATATATATATATATATATATATATATATATATATATATATATATATATATATATATATATATATATAAAAGAAGGTTTAATGGAATTAAACTGAAGTAAAGTTATTATTTGTCAACAAATGTATTATATGATTATGTTTAATCCATCCATATATTATATAGATCTATATTATTTTCTAGGTGTTAATCAATCCGACTTTAATGTGATCCAATTTTTTAAATAGCAAAGTTATATAACAACATCAATAATTATGTAGCTTCACATCAAAAGATGATTGTTAATTCAAAAAATTAGTAAAGGACAGGTTAAATTTTGATTTTCTTGTATGAGATGTTTTCCTGTTTTGATGTGTTTAAGTAATACACTGGAAAAATAAATCAGTGTATTATCTGGCTAACTGGTGCAGTCCATTGAGATTTGTAGAAGTTAGCTGGCTAAATTAAATTCTTTAAATTAATTATTTCTGTTCGTTATGATTGCATAAAATTTCTTGCATAGGTAATCTTTTTATTTTTTATTTCATTGGTTGAGAAACAAAAATATGCATGCGAGCTGGACAGAGCAAGATGCAAACATAAGGAATTATAATAATATTATCTCAAAATTAATATTTCTCTTTATTAGTTTCTTTTCTTGATTTGAACTAATTTCTTATAACTTAATAGTTCCTATCTATATTTTACAATTATATCATGCAAATTAAAAAAAACCAATAGCATTGCTACAAATGACAAGCGAGTAAAACATATCTACATGTATCTACATCTTTCTTCAAGAAATTTATGAACAGCAGAAAAGATACTGTTTTTCTGTAAACTAAGGCAAATTTACATCACCATATGATAAAAGGTTTTTTTTATTTTACAATAAGCAACACCCAAATATGCATAAGACAAACTTTTTGAAAAAAGAGGCCTTAATCATTCGATCATTTGATTAACACTCTTAGAAAGACATGTTCAGAAACTATAATATTTGTTTTTAGTATGAGAAATTTGTTAAATAGTCTTATATAGTCCAACTTTGTTATCGTCTGACCTCTCTTTCAGCGACCAACAACAATAAACATTTTTTAAAAATACAATTATAATTTTAAAAACACAAACACACACACTCACACACACACACACACACAAACAAATAACTTGTGTGCACAAGAAAACTAAACAGAAAATTAAAAAATAAAATAAACAACAAATACATGCAAGATAATTTACTCATGACAAATCCATCAGGTCATTACACCATTGAATAGGAAATGCATTAAAATGCTCCTCTATAGTTTGAAAAAATCGAGTAAATTCGTACGATATTTACATCCCATCAGCTGTGAATATTTCCACTGTAAATGTACACAATGTCTCTGGAACGAATTCAGTAGTCTGTAGTTACCTTTCGGTTGTAATTCTCAGAAAATAATCAGACATGATTGCCGACTTCTGAAGACACTTGTTTTGTTGTCTGTAAACGATTGCCCAGTGTCGCACGTTCAGCGACTGCAAGGGTTAATTCGAAACTTAAAATTAAAATTCAGGAAATATCCACCTCGTATTTACAAGTATATGCGGACAAGATATAAATATTGAATGATATAGGACTATTATACATGGCCCACATCAAGTTTATTTGTTTTCTATAGACTGTGAGTTTTCTAAAAATTCTTTCCTACTTTTGCTATTAATATATCCTAAATCAGTTGTAATATCGTTACTAGTAAGCATATTACGCAAAACAAGCTGCTTCTATACAGGAATTATAACCCTAGCCAAGACCCTGGAGTAAATAAATAACAACAGCTTATAAATCACAAGTTAATTTTTTTCAACCTAACTAGATTTGGTAATGAGCTAACATTGTTTTCAAATATCCTTTTTTAAAATAACCGTATAATTCTTTTCAGAGAATTTTAGTCTTTACATGTGTTGGGTCCTCATTTTCCTTGATCAGAAACATTTGTGGATCAGTGATGACTAATATACATTTCTGTCTGTGGAAATGTAGATCGGACACTGACAAAAGATTAAATTAAAAGAAATACATGTACATAACGGAGAAAAAAAAAATGAAAAAAGGAATGTTGAATTATTTATTGTTAGATATTCAGAATATGTAAGAAAAAAATTAAAAGAGCAGAAAAAGAGTATAAATACACAAATAATGTTCCATCAAAGTGATTAAAACTATTTTCTGTAGAATTGTAAATTTAATATAAATAAATAATATTAATATAAATAAATAAAATAAAATAAAAAATATATAAAAGGAAAATCTATTCAATTACCCATCATGGGAAATTTAAACATTGCAATTTTTAAGCATGCATTATATAATAATTTCAGGAAATTTTCTTTAAGACGCCTTCCTTTGCATCAACAAAAGTTTTCGGGTGTGGAAATCTATAAGGAAGTGTTCTTTTAATACACATATGTATGAAATGCCCTACAGAAAAATTCAATATTACTAATTACGAGAGAGAAACCTTCCCTACATAATGTTACGACATACGGACTACCTTTATTCCCGACAGACAACTTTAACACACCCGTCAAACAGATACGTAACATGCAAAAATGATCTTCACGTAACTGACCAAAAGACTTGGTATATATAGCCCTTCAGATCAATACTTCCACAATCTCCTCTCTTCATTTGAGTATTCCACTTGCCGGGGATTCGATTTCATCAAACCAGCACCATGAACAAGTCCGTCATTTTGATGATCCTGCCATGCGTGATTGCTCTGGCTGTTGTTGCTGTGGAGGGTATGTACTACTACCCTGGCGCCCAGACCTCAGTCGTGGGAGGAGTCGGAAACACCGCTGCCAGACAGGCTTACCAACAGAGATACCTCCAGGAATGGTTCCAGACTCGCCAACAGAGAAACCAGCTGAACAAACTCGCTAAACAATCTACCTTCTCAACCTTTGTCAACTACAGTAAGTCTCTAATCACATGTCTATAATTCAATTTTTAAAGATATAGTTACTGGTATATGGGCATCTTTAATTTATTTCGTTTAAAATATGATACTGTTATCAGGGGGTAGAATTAAATAAAGCAAACAATTTTTTTTTTAAACTTCAGTATTTTATTTTTATAACTTTTTGGTTACTAATGGTATTGACACTTTCTTTTCAGTTCCTCTGGTTCTTCTGTTGACCACCCTGACCAACAACACTGCTCTCCCCATCATCGGTTAAACATCTTATGAACTGCGGAAAAAGAGAGGCGTAATACTCTAACAGGTGCGTGATGATATAATCATTTCAATTAAGAGCATTTCTTGCTTATTTAATCGAAACCTTCTAACGTTTAATTGCCTCAAAGTTAGCAGTTTACAAAAAAAAAATTCTGAGTGATATGATGAATGCCTAAAGAACATGTCGAATAAAATATTTTTTTCTAAAATATTTTAGTCTTTATGAAAACATTTTCTTTTATTTTAACAGGGGTTGACGACCAGATCAGTAGGGGTGTGCTGTTAAATGGCTGTTGAATAAATTATTATAAAAATCTTATTTTATCTTATGCTTTTGTCTAAAGGATGATAATATATTGGTATGAGAAATTTTATAATCTCTGGTATGATTTATAAAAAAAGCATTTTACTTATTAATTGAAATGCATGTGATTCAAATTTGTTTAAACTTAGTATCTATATTTTTCGACAAAAAACGGATAAAAAGTCACACAGTATAAATCTAAACCCATCATTACAAAATCAAGGGTTGAAAACACTCAAACAATGTACAATACTTCATTACATTATGCTTTGCGATGCGGCTTCGAGAGACTGCTTCTTAGAAAATGTAAACTTACAAAAAATCTTCACATTGCAAGGTACACTACATGTTTGCCAAAAAAAAAGGAAAAAAAAGGTTTTTAGTTTCAAATCAAATTTTTGGAAATTGCCTAATGATACACAATGGTTCATGTACGATGAATAAAAATTGAAGATAATAAGCGGTGATCGATCTCAAGAAAACCTACAAAAAATACAAATCTGTGAACAGGGCAAAAAACACAGGCCCCCGGAAATTCCCGAGATGGGATCAGATGCCTGGGAGGAGTAAGCATCTCCTGTTGACCAGTCGCATCCGCCGTAATCCCTATGCATTGATCAGGTAGACAGAATACATGTATTCTGCAGTCGATTTAAGTATAAAAACAAAGGCCTAACAATTGGTATGAAATATGTCAGTCAAAATACGATATATTGACAGGTTGTATTTGCTAAAAGGGTCATTACAACAACCATAGAATTCCCAAAATGCTGACTTTAAACGAGATTGTTGAAATCCTTGTAACATCAAGTTATCTATTATTAACCTGCCTCGTTTAAAAATTGTTCGTACTCAGAGCATGTTCTTCAGTATCGAATAAGTTGGGAGACATAAACACCATGTGCATGCAGGTGATAGCGGAATATTACTTCATACATGTGAATATGACGATGAAAAAGCTGAAGTCATCTTGTCATACAATTTACCCTCATAATCCTTTAAGATACAGACATTTAAATATAAAATTACAAATATCAAATACCTATTTGTCTAAGGTTTCTTTTCATTGTAAGGTTTATCATTATTTATTTATTATTTTTTTTTTTTTACAGATTTACAATCAAAATATCCTAAATCTGACTAATACTATGAGTAAAATGGAAAACAAGTGTTTCTTTACAGAATTGTACCCCTTGCCAAGTGCGGGATTAATGAAAAACAAACAATTACTTAATATATTGCTTGAAGAACTAGTGTCACTCGGGCATATTTTACATTTCTTTTTTTGACTTTTCTTGATTTAAGTTTTAATATCTTTTATTAATACATGTACACCTCAGATTCCCCATTTTCCTTGAAGACTAAGGATACATTTTAATCCATGAAAGTGCAAGGATGTATGGTATAATCAAATTAGTAGTTCTGATAATTTTCATATAAAAGAAGTTTCTAAGCATGTTTTTATAATATATTGGTCTAGAACGATCTTGCAATAAGCAAGTCAAGAAATTCTACCGAAAATTTTGAAGATTATACACTTCAAATCTATGTCCATGCCCCTTTAATATCATGTTGCGATTAGTTTGACTTTTTTTTGGCATGTCAAACGTTGCAATATTCGATCTTTTCCATTTGTATTGTATAATTTTCCATTTGTATTCTAAAATTTTCAATTTGTAATGTATAATTTTCCATTTGTATTTATAATGTTTATTTGTATTCTATAATTTTCCATTTGTATTCTATATTTTTTCATTTGCATTGTAAATTCTTTATTTGTATTCAATAATTCTCCATTTGTATTGTATAATTTTTATTTGTATTGTATAATTTTCCATTTGTATTGTATAATTTTTCATTTGTATTGTATATTTTTTCATTTGTATTGTATAATTTTCCATTTGTATTGTATTATTTTTTCTATTTGTATTGTATAATTTTCAATTTATATTGTATAATTTTCCATTTGTATTGTATATTTTTTCCATTTGTATTATAAAATTATACGATATAAATGGAAATTTATAGAATACAAATAATTTAAGAATTATACAATACAAATGAAATATTATACCATACAAATGGAAAATTATACAATACAAATGAAAAAATATACAATACAAATGAAAAATTATAGAAAACAAATGGAAAATTATACAATACAAATGAAAATTATAGAACACAAATAAAAATTATACAATAGATATGAAAAATTATGCAATACAAATGAAAAATTATAGAATACAAATAAACATTATACAATACAAATGAAAAAATATACAATACAAATGAAAAATTATACAATACAAATGTAAAATTATAGAATACAACTGGAAAATTATAGAATACAAATAAACATTATAAATACAAATTATACAATACAAATGGAAAAGATCGAATATTGCAACGTTTGAAATACCAAAAAAATGATATAATAATATTGAGTATAAAGTGAGTATAAAGTCTACCATATTTCTGATGTTATACAAGTATTTACAATGATTACAATTTTGTTAAATAAATTAATTTCATTTTTTTACGCATTCCATACAAGGTCAATTCAAAGACGTTATGGAATATTGCTACATAAGGGATGCTGATGTCATCCCGTATATCATGTATAGTTAGACATTAATGTGTATATTTAATAAAACATCCTATCACTGAAATGGTGTGGCAGACTCATATTTATACAATGTAAGGTGCAGATAGCAAACAGTGATCAATCTCAGAAATACAGTGACAAAACGAACCGTGATCAAAACAAAAACACGGACCCCTGGAAACACCAGAGGTGGGATCAGGCACAGGCACCTGACGAATGGATGGTGTAACCTCCACCCCCCCCCCCCCCCCCCCAACTCCCTTAGCTTCTGAGAATTTTTATTGGACACAAAAACTTATCAAAAATACATGAATTCTTACTCTGTCATTCCTATATTTCGATATCTGTTATCATTTTCCGCTTGGCGGGGGTACACAGACCAGGTAAATTTGAGGGGTGGTGCTTATTATCTTGGGCTTTAAGTTTTAGAGATTGGCCCTATACAGTATATAAAAATATTAAATATCGAAATATAGGAATGATAGAAAAGGAATTTTTGTGTCTAATAAAAATTCTCAGAAGCTGGGGGGGGGGGGGGTTACACCATCCATTCGTCAGGTACATGTGGAATCAGGCGTCTAGGAGGAGTAAGCATCCCCTGGCCACCGGTCACACCCCGCCGTGAACCCTATGTATTAATTGATCAGGTGGACAGAGTACTCTATAGTCAAATTTAGTATAAATGTAACGACTTAACAAGTGGTATGAAACGTGTCAGACAAAATAACACCAAACGATAGGTTGTATTTACAAACAAGAGGCCCAAGGGCCACATCGCTCACCTGAGCACTATGGCTAGGAAAAAGCAGAAATCACTTCAATCTTGAAAGGTTGAAAAGTTTAAATATAAAAGTGGTTGGGGGGGGGGGGGTGTCATGAATTGAACAAATTTGAATCTACATTATCTGAGGATGCCTCCATTTAAATATGACCAATCATGGCTTTGCTGTTCTTGAGTAGAAGATTTTTAAAGATTTAACCTATGTATTCCTATGTAAAACTTTGATCACCCATTGTGGCCCCACCAGACCCCCTGGGGTCATGTTTGAACAAACTTGAATGTACACTATCTAAGAATGCTTCCATATAAATATGACCAATCATGGCTTTGCTATTCTTAACAAATAGGTTTTTTTAAAAGATTTTTACTATGTGTTCCAATGTAAAACTTTGATCGCCCATTGTGGCCCCACCCGACCCCCGGGGGTCATGATTCAAACAAATTTGTATGTACACTATCTGAGGATGCTACCATATAAATATGACCAATCATGGCTTTGCTATTCTTAACAAATTGGTTTTTTTTTTGTTTTTTTTTTTTTTTTAGAATTTTTACTATGTGTTCCTATGTAAAACTTTGATCGCCCATTGTGGCCCCACCCGACCCCCAGGGGTCATGATTTGAACAAATTTGAATGTACACTATCTGAGGATGCTACCATATAATTATGACCAATCATGGCTTTGCTGTTCTTGAGAAGAAGATTTTTACTATGTGTTCCTATGTAAAACTTTGATCGCCCATTGTGGCCCCATCCGACCCCCGGGGGTCATGAGTTGAATAAATTTGAATGTACACTATCTGAGGATGCTTCCATGTAAATATGACCAATCATGGCTTTGCTGTTCTTGAGAAGAAGATTTTTAAAGATTTTTCTATATATTCCTATGCAAAACTTTGATCCCCCATTGTGGCCCCACCCGACCCCCAGGGGTCATGATTTGAACAAACTTGAATCTACACTACCTGAGGATGCTTCCAGGTAAATATGACCAATCATGGCTTTGCTGTTCTTGAGAAGAAGATTTTTAAAGATTTTCCTATATATTCCTATGTAAAACTTTGATCGCCCACTGTGGCCCCACCCTACCCCCGGGGGTCATGATTTGAACAAACTTGAATCTACACTACCTGAGGATGCTTCCAAGTAAATATGACCAATCATGGCTTTGCTGTTCTTGAGAAGAAGATTTTTGAAGATTTTTCCTATATATTCCTATGTAAAACTTTGATCGCCCATTGTGGCCCCACCCGACCCCCAGGGGTCATGATTTGAACAAACTTGAATCTACACTATCTGAGGATGCTACCATATAATTATGACCAATCATGGCTTTGCTGTTCTTGAGAAGAAGATTTTTACTATGTGTTCCTATGTAAAACTTTGATCGCCCATTGTGGCCCCATCCGACCCCCGGGGGTCATGAGTTGAATAAATTTGAATGTACACTATCTGAGGATGCTTCCAGGTAAATATGACCAATTATGGCTTTGCTGTTCTTGAGAAGAAGATTTTTAAAGATTTTCCTATATATTCCTATGTAAAACTTTGATCGCCCACTGTGGCCCCACCCTACCCCCGGGGGTCATGATTTGAACAAACTTGAATCTACACTACCTGAGGATGCTTCCAAGTAAATATGACCAATCATGGCTTTGCTGTTCTTGAGAAGAAGATTTTTCCTATATATTCCTATGTAAAACTTTGATCGCCCATTGTGGCCCCACCCGACCCCCAGGGGTCATGATTTGAACAAATTTGAATCTTCACTATCTGAGGATGCTACCATATAAATATGACCAATTATGGCTTTGCTGTTCTTGAGAAGAAGATTTTTTAAAGATTTTTCCTGTATATTTCCTATGTAAAACTTTGATCGCCCATTGCGGCCCCGCCCTACCCCCGGGGGTCATGATTTGAACAAACTTGAATCTACACTACCTGAGGATGCTTCCACATAAGTTTCATGTTTTCAAGCACAGTGGTTCTTGAGAAGATTTTTTAATGATGCCATTTATTTTTCACGAATTCTTAATTATCTCCCCTTGGAAGAAGGTGTGGCCCTTCATTTGAACAAACTTGAATCCCCTTTACCCAAGGATACTTTGTGGCAAGTTTGGTTGAAATTGGCCTAGTGGTTCTTGAGAAGAAGTCGAAAATGTGAAAAGTTTACAGACGGACAGACGGACAGACGGACTACAGACAAAATGTGATCAGAAAAGCTCACTTGAGCCTTCGGCTCAGGTGAGCTAATAATGTTATTATAACCGTCGTATATGAAAGTAAGTAACTGTTATTGTCTATGATGTCAAAAACCATGCTCTTTAATTTATCTTGAGGAACAGTTGTACATGTATAAAGCGTAGAAAAGTCACATGTTTTGATGCTATTTATATTTGAAAAGTTTTGATTGAATATGCTGTAGTACAATACGTCTGAAAACGAAGAATATATAACTTCATATATATGATGATATATGATAATGTTGATGCCCAAGGAAGAAATTCCATTGATGTTTGGTTTGGTACATAAAATACTTCATTTCAAAATTCAGAAAGTTTTATACGCAATGAAAACTCATAAATTAATGTTCTCTTTACGTCCATAAAACAAATAAGACATGGAAAGAAACAAACATTTCCAACCCAATAAGACATGGATTAGGTTAACTTCTTAGGTTATTTTTATTGTATGCATAGATATAACTAGTTTATGAAGCATTTAAAACTTATTAGATCAGAGAGTCCTCTTTGATATCGTCCAGATTCTTTGATATCGTCCAGATTCTTTGATATCGTCCAGATGTTTTTCTAATATTTAATTTAAAATTTGGAGATTTAAGCAATTTGCACTAAATTATTATCAATACTAAGAAAATCATGTATTACGTTTATGTTTTGATGGTTATCTTCTCTCGTCGGGTGTAAATTTGTAATAAATTGGTAATTTTCTTTTTGCCTTTGGGCTTTGAAATTAGCAGATAAATGAACCATGTAATAAAAGTCATCAATACTTGTATATACCAGTAAACATTTCCATATATGATTTTATTTACATATGTATGAGAAGATATTATCTTCGGTGTTTTAGCGTTATTAAAAACTGAAAGAATTAACCTTTAGAATGCTAGGATGTTATATTCGTAATCTCTTTCTGGGATTTCCTTAGCTACATATATTTTATATAGGAATGCACAGCACATCACATCAATTCACTCAAGAATCATCATTAAACACAATTGATGATGACTGAATCCAAGAAAAAAATTCCCAATCTTTGATACAGATTGATACAAATTATATTTGCAAAAAAACTGGAACAAATATGTTACATTAAGAAATGAATTTACCTGCGATATTAACTTCCTTTTACGAAAAAATCCAGACAGCGTTATCACACCCGTAAAAATATGATGTAATTTATGCAATCGCACTTCACGTAAGTGACTGATACATTAGGTATATATACCCCTGAAAACTTGCACGCCAATAATCTCCTTTTTTCACTGTGGGATTCGCTATCAGCTCGCACCAAACAGCAACATGAACAAGTCCGTCATTTTGATGATCCTGCCATGCGTGATTGCTCTGGCTGTTGTTGCTGTGGAGGGTATGTACTACTACCCTGGCGCCCAGACCTCAGTCGTGGGAGGAGTCGGAAACACCGCTGCCAGACAGGCTTACCAACAGAGATACCTCCAGGAATGGTTCCAGACTCGCCAACAGAGAAACCAGCTGAACAAACTCGCTAAACAATCTACCTTCTCAACCTTTGTCAACTACAGTAAGTATTCATTCCGATTATATCAGAAATTAATTCTGTTATGACTTTTGATTTACTCCTTCTGATGAAAGAAAATGAATAATCAGACTAAAAAAAATACTGAAATAAATTTAAAAGATTTTTTTTTATTTTTTAAAGACAGAATTGTGTAGTGATCAGTTTTATAGTATAAATCTTTTATTTCAGTTCCTCTGGTTCTTCTGTTGACCACCCTGACCAACAACACCGCTCTCCCCATCATCGGTTAGATGTGAAATGTAGAAAGAGAGGGGCGTGATACTCCAACAGGTGCTTGTTTTAATTTTTTGTGATGTTTATAAAGTAATCCTCTTTGTTAACTACTACTTTTGTAAATAAAGTAAACATCATAAAAAAAGTCAATAAACTGCATTAAATGAAAAGAGCAAAAATAAAATTGTTATTTTTCTTTTTTAACAGGTTGGAAGAGAAACCAGTTGGAATGATTTTTGTTTGTTTGTTGAATAAAAGTTGACATAGAAAATATATATGTTCTGTATATTGTTCTGTAAAGTAAGTAATTAACCAATCTATTTAATGGTTCCTTTAAAAAGTTATTGCTGCCAAATAAAAAAAATCAAAATAAAGGTAACTTTAATGAGAAGCATTTTCAAAATGAGAAATGTTTAAAATGTAAAGATGAAATACATTCAATATAGCGTGCAAAAATCAACCAAAATAAAGGATAAATATTGCAAATGTTTTCAAATTAAAGTACATTCTTCAATCAAATTCTTACAACAATGGTCACTTTTCGACCACCGATGAGAGAGAATCGCTCATGCAAATGTATTTAACTGGTAATTAACATATGTCAACTAGTGAACATACATGAAAACACGTTTTTTTTTTTGGGTTTTTTTTTTTTTTTTTAGAAAACAATGCCCTGAAGGCTCATTGTTAACGATTTACATGTAATATTGCTCTTTATGGAAGATCTGATCAAATTAGTTATAATAAGTAGAGGAACTAGTCAATTAAAAGAACTTCTTTCCAATCTGTTGATTATTTATCAATAAAATATGTTCAAAACATCTGATCAAGAGTTGGTTGTTTCAAATGATGACCATATGACTATATTAAAATTACATAATATCCAATAAACAAGTCTTATTCAGTACATTTTCAAGGGGAACTTCCTCGACAGATTTTCATGTAATTATTATGTAAATGTTACGTTGTTAGGTGACAGCAAATACGTAATCAAGCAAACCTATAAATCGCTTTTCTTTTTTGAAACCACCATTAACTACCTATTTTAAGATATACAAATCTGGCCTTTCCCTGCTTGCCCTCGTTGTGACTCTTGATGAAGTTGAAGGTTTCGGATATAGAGTTTTACAGCATAAAATTTGTGAACATTTCAAAAATAAGTCAAACTCAAAGGTCAAGGTGTAAAGTAAAAAAAAAAGATATTGGTGCCAAAAGAAGACTGCACTCACGAAATACACATGTGCAATATAAATCAATAACGCCAACCGTTCAAAAGTTATGATCAAGGTTAAAGTTTGGTGAATTTTTGCAAAAGAAGGTCAGACTCCAAGGCCAAGAGGTCAAATATGTTGATAGACAAAGAAAGGTCTTGTCACAAGGAATACACAGGTGAAGTACGAAAGCCTTAGCATAAAACATTCTTAAGTAATGGACAAGGACAAACGGACAGGCATACGGACAAACAGACCAAAAAGTATATGCCCCCGAATCTTCGATTACAGGGGCATAAAACTATCATCTATATGAAAGCATCCATTAGAAGTAAAAACAAGAAGTAAGCAAGAAAAATGAAGTCTCTGAACAAAATAACGAATGAATGTATCTGGGTTATAAAAACTATTTATTTTCACATCTTTAACAATTTGTTAAATTTTCTCTGCATGAATAATTGAGGAAAGCACAATGGATTTAGAAAGTATGTGCACAGTTTTTAAATGAATTAACTAAAATACGATCAGATGATCTATATCCAGATATACAATGTAGTCGTGTACTTATTTTTATATTAAAATAAAAATCAGTATACGACAGTTTGTTATTCATCTCCTTAACCTCAGTGGGCCGTATGGTTTTACAGATAAGTATACATTATTTGATTTTGTCTTTTACAAGACATCAAAATTGGGGGAAATTATAAACTTAAAATGTAGACAACAAGAAATCATTTTTCATTGTTAAAGAGAATTCTTTGTACTTGATAAGAGCAGTATTATTTAACAATTCAAAATTTTGACTTTTATAGAAGTGTTTTATAAAATAAAAACAAATGTGGTTTTTGTCATTAAATGCAAAAAGAAGTGTGGCAGAGGATATAATAAGTCAATAAAATTCGAAATGTTAAACTTTCAGAAATTTGCACACTCTTCTTGGTTTAAAGGGTTGTAACCAATTTCCTTGTGTTTAAAAACAAGAAAAGACAAGCAGTATTTTTATTAATTATACGATGTACTCTACAAAGAAAAGCATCTACAACAGCCATTAATACACTGATGTACATGACCAGGTCCAGCAGCTCCCGGACAATCGGATGATGTAGTACATGCTGTACATCCACCTGTTAAATATATAGGATAGCTGTTTGTTATTCTATCGCTAATAAGAAAAAAATTATAAGAATCATTTTTTCATTAATAAAAAAAGATTACTTTACCTGAAAAACACCTAATCTTCGAACCAGAAGCAAATGGTAGTCCCCAATTGTCAGCAATAGCTAGAATGATCAGTTATAAATAATTATAGAAGTCAAGGGATCTGGAAATCGTATATTTTGTTTTAAAAAAAGCAGAATATGTTTCTCTTTTATTCTATTCTACATATACTGTCAGGCTATCAGCTGAATACAACTAATGTATGTAGACAATTTTATGGAAAGCATATTTTGAGTGGAATCGTCAAATGAAGTGAAAAATCAATTTTCATATGAATTTAACTTTAGTACGATAATTGTAACTATTCGCAGTAATTAAGCAAAAATACATTTTAACAAAAATGTAGGGATAAACGATAGTACTCATGCTCAAAGTCCTATCAAACATGGACCTCTGAAAACAGAGGTGGTATTAGGTTTCATGAAGGAAAGAGCATCCCCTGTCGATCGGACACGCCTACCGTGTGTCCCTTGTTATGTTAAACGGAAAAAATGGCCAAATAATTGGTATGAAATACGTCAGTCAATATTCAACCTGACGACAGACTGTATTTGCAAGCAAGGTCAATGTATCGAACGTTATCATTAAGTTGATTACTGGTATAAAATATATCCATTTAAAGAGGAAGAGAAACATCTCCAAAGATCGATCTACTCTGTTGGATTCATTTATTAAGGTGTTGAAAATTGTTTAGAACTGTTGATTTTCTTTCAAGCATGTGTAAGCTCAAGAAAAGGGCGACAAAAAACTGATTATTTGGAAGAACATTTTTAAAAAACAAACAGACAAACAAACAAACAGGCAAAAACAAACAAGCAAAACCCCAAAATAAAAACAAACAAGAATAAAACAAACAAATTATAAAAAACCAACAAAATATAAAATCTACAAAAAAAAAAAAAAAAAAAAAAAAAAAAAAAAAGACAAGAAAAAAATCAATAGCTCCAAATCTATATATTATGTTCAGTAGCTAATAATATACTCAACTCGACGTTTTTTTTTTAAATATAATTTAGAAAAAAAGATTGGAGAATTTTATTTGTAGGAGTCAAAGGTATCAATATTAAAAGTACATGTAATTGTGAAAACCTTAACAGTATCATTTACTGTATAATGCTATTACAGTACCATTCTATCTAAAATGTTCTTAACATGTTGACTTAATTCATGGAAAAATGAATAATTTTTAAATTTATAGGTGAAGATCAGGAAATTGGAAAACCCCGCTGTGTCGTGTAAGGATCTCGGATTAAACTTGTAAAAAACTTTACATCAAAAATACTACTTCTTTTATCAAAATATAAACGGCTAGATAGGCAAACGCAAACAGATAAATACAAAAAGTTTAAATTATTAATCTCCGAAAGTGAGTTTTAGTCCGCATCACAACTTTTAAAAGACCTAACATTTGCTCAACAAAGCAGCCTTGAATCTTGGCATCTTATAGTTCTGTTGATCTTTCAATTAATATTGATGATTCTTACATATAAGATCATTTTAACAAATATGAAACAATTAATAAGGTAAATCTGTTTTTCATATTTCATATGAGAAAAAAAGTAATAAAAAATTTATAAATACCTGCAAGAACAACAATAACTAGAATAAAGTTGGTCCTCATGATGAAAATAATTTGGTGGCTTAGGTGTCAAACTATTTAGAGTCAAATTATTATCGTTCCTATATATACTGCTGTCTGAGTGTGGCATCCTGCAACTGTTATCTGCATAATCCATATTTTCTTGCCAAAAAAATGAAAATAATATTTATAGGGAGGTCTGCGAACACTTCTCATTCAGAAAGCTGCTCTATTATTTTGTCTGTCATCGTAAAAACCACGGCATGATTACATCTAAAGAAAATAGGCGAACAAGGCGTGCAAAATGTCTTTAACTTAAAAAAAATGTATAAAAATCAAAGTTGAACTAAGTATTTAGAGCACAGTTCTAATTATTGAAAGGTATGAAATTATGACCAAAAACTTTTCTGCGGAAAAATTCTCTCGATAAAACAATAATTTAAAAATTCTATAGTAAAAATAAGTAAAGGATTTTTGGGATTTGAACCCAAGAAAACATCCTGAGTATGTTTTCCTTCTTAGATATTGACACACTTACTATTACACCATACAGCTCATAAGATTGATTGATTGTGTGTTGTTTTACGTCCAGTTCGAGAATTTTTCACTCATATAGAGACGTCACCATATACCGGCGAAGGACTTCAAATTTAAACCTATACTCAGAGCCATTGAGCAGTGAGGGTTCTTTATCGTGCCAACGCCTACCGTGACACGGGGCCTCGGGTTTTAAGGTTTCATTGGAAAGACCCGCAACTGTCACTCCATAGTGCCGAGCGCTTGGCGAAGGAACAGTTGCTACCTATTTTTTATCGACTAAGGTCAGTCACGGCCGTGATTTGAACACACGACCTTCCAATCAGGGAGCGAGCGCTCTACCAACTGAGCTACCGTGACGGTCACAGCTCATATAGAAGTAGCGGCACTTAAATCTGATATGACCCTTGAATAACGGGACTTGTATTTTTCGGAAAGATACGAATTCTTTGTCATAGAAGTGTGTTTTTAAGGTAGACTGAGTCAATGCTCCATGCTTTTGTTAAGCAAAAAAAAAAAATATATATATATATATATATATACTTTGAAGATATATACACAGAGAGAGAGAGAGAGAGAGAGAGAGCTAAAAATTACGTTGTAGTATGAAGAAATGATAATTTTTTGCCCTCTTTAGTGTACATGCTGTTTTACAGACGAATAATGTTAAAACTTGCAAGATTGTTACAAATATTTTTGGGGATTTTACGTAAAGTAAATA